CCGCGGCGGGGCTGCGGTACCACGGCAGGTTCAGGTCTTGACTCCCGGGCGGGTGATAGGCCTGGAGGCAGGGCACGCCGCGGTGGAAGAACGCCCCCCGCCGCGGCTGGGACAGGGACGGACGGGATACGCTCAGGAAAGCCATACACACCCGAAAGACGCGACGGCGCAGCATGGCCTATGGCTTTGTCGTTGCTTTTTTCTTTTCTTTTTATTATTATTTAATGACAATAATAATTGAAAAAAAAAGATGGCGTATAAAGTGGCCAGATGTGACTTCTCTATTGTCTTTTTCTGGTCCTACGGTGTAGATAAAATTTCCGTTTGTAGAATATGCTTTCCCCTTTTCGGAAACAGCAGCAAATACATATGGGATAGGGAGAGAAGTTAAAATAATGCCCGATAAGGATTAGAAATTCAAAACATTTTGAGTCAACAACAACAAACATCTGGCATATTTCCCCAGGACAATCAGTTGAATTGCTTCTTCAGACAAGATAACGACAAGGTGCTAAAGCATTTGACATGCCACATATTCACGTCTTAGCCTATCTTCTATTCACCTATCTATTCCTTCTATCCTACGATATATTAAAAAATATCAACTAAACAACAAATTTATGGGGCTTGCCCTCCATACCGGGTGTGATGACCTCGGCCTTTTCCCATATCTCGGCCGCTTTCTCCTCGTCAGCACGGGCCTCATCAATACGGCCCAACGCCTCCCGAGCCTCAGCACGGAGCTGGAAAAGCGTCGGCGAGTGATCCGACTTCACAAACGCCAACGCACGCGTGAGGTCGTCATCGGCGCGCTCAAAGGACTTCAGCTTGCAGTAAACCATTCCGCGCGCAACAAGTACTGCCCCTAGGGCTTTTCGATGCCGCTCGTTGCTCATATCCGCACCTCCCGAAATAAAGCTCATGGACGCGGTGAGGGACTTGAGAGCGCCGGCCGGGTCGTCTTCGTAGACCTGGATCTTTGAACGGGTGTACATCGCCATAGTAAGCGCCATGAGCTTGTCAAATTTTGCGTGCATGTCGATTCCGAACTTCTTTTGGATGTGTGCGCGCACCTTCGGGTGATCGAGCCATTTCTGGAAGAGGTCGATATCACGCATATAACGGTTCACAAACTCGTGCGCCCTTTTGATATCGTGGTTTTCCTCCAGAATCATGTGCGCGCCGTGAAGGAGGCCCCAGTGGACGAATCCGTTAAACTCCTGGCGTTGCTGGATGTTATCCTGCCCATCTCTCTGCGGGGCGAGGAGGTAGTCGATCTGATCCTCGACGAGCATCGGGTTCCCGAACGCCTCCAAGAGTCGTTTATCTTCCTCCACAGCCTTTTGAATCTCAAGCAAGACATGTTGATCCATAAAGCCCTCGTCATCGATCGCGTCTATTGCGGGATCAAAGCTTGGGGGTGGGATAAGGCGGCGCGTATTCTCAAAGGTCTCATCAATCATATGCCAGCTCGAGTTAATGAAAAAATTATCTCCCTCATAACTGATCTCCTGCGGCTTATCTGGGCTCATCATCTCTTTCAATTCCGGCACGTACATCCCGTCCATCCTCTTTTTGTTCTTGTCGTAGGGCGAGCCAAACATCGAGCCGGACCAGTTTTGATTCACCCGCGGCCACCAGCGCTCGCCCTCGGACTTTAAATCGTCCGTAAGGGGAGGTTCTTGGCCGCTTCGCTGGGCGTCTGTGGCGCGCTGGACCTCGCGTTGCCGTCGCCGAGCCTCCTCGGCGGCGTTATGGAGTTTTTCACTGTAGTCGACGCCGCCCGGGGAGGCTGCCGGGGTCGTCATAGACGGCCGCGGAGGGGGATGAAGCGCCGTTATCGACAACCCATGCGGCGAAACGCGCGAGCCAGCCCCGCCGGACCACCCCGCACTCCCCTCCTCGGCCTTGAGGATTGGGCCATTGCGCCTGTGAAACCCCCGGCAAGGGAGGAGCCCGGCCGGGGCCACGAGCCCCAACAGGGGATGCCGCGGTGTAACAGGGTTAAGCACTCGAGCCATGGCCCCCTTTTTTTCAGGCCGTGTCACAGTCCGCTGCGGTCTGCAGTGCTGCTGTTGGGATGAATAACCGCCCTACTAAGAACTGTAGTGTAACAGAAAGAGAAGAGGAAAAAGGAGAGGAAAAGGGAGGGGGGCTGTTGTGTGGGAGGGACCGCAGCGCGCTTTGGAAAAAAGAAGGAACGGGTGGTCACATCGTGCGTCGCTGTCACAATTCACCGTGTTTCTTTGGTGTGGGGGTGGGTTTTAAGCAAAAGGGGGATTTCAACACCACGGGCGTTGACATTTTTAGACCTCCATGAACGCGCAAACAAAGTAAGAAAGCAAAGCTTAAACGATTTATAAGTATGTAAGAGGTGGAGATAAGGAAAATAGGTAGAGATAATCCAGAAAATACCGTATTACGCACGGTTCAAGCGAGATTTTAAACGAACACAGACCAAAATGTGTCGGTAGCTCTCTTATTCCTCGTTATTCATTCCAACCCAATTATTTCTTCAGAAATTAAGGACTTAAAAGTAAAATTGGAGCATGTTACATAAATTTGCGCAACCACTGCAAGGGTACTCAATTTATTACCTCTCGCATTTTTACTTAGTGAAGGTGATCAACTAAAAGAAAAAAAAGATACCAATTACAACGGAAGAAGTACTATTAGATTAAACAAACTTTACTCCTCTTTCAAGAGAGCTCCGCAAGTTAGTAGTTAAATAATCATGAAATTGCATTCTATTCATCGATTTCAAAAATGTACCCGCATTCAGTCAGGTACTAAGTCCGCACCAGGAAGGTGGGAATGAAAAGAAAAAAGATAAGTACAGAATAAGTAAAGCTCTTGTCAATTTAATAGGCGCATAATCAAAGTTGCGCTACTTTTATCTAAAAGGGAAAAGATCACAAACGAGGTTCCTCGAATACAAGATGAGTAAGGAAATGCGCGAAAATAAGACCGTCTGCTCAGAAAATGCGGGCCGACGGAAGGGCGCAATCGACATATGGGAATCTTAAAAACTGTGGCACCCAAAAGGTATCGCCATCACCATCACACACACCTACACACCAAAATAAAATAGTCGTTAGAGGACCTTTTCTTGAAAGCCCCTTATATAGAAGGGCCATAGTCGCGGGTTTGGCCGTTTTGGCCGCCCTCCTCAGTTGCCATTTCGCTTCGTAAAGTGAAAGGCCTGGGTGACGAACTCGCAGCACTGGGCGGCCGTAATTCGTTCTTTGGTGTTTTGGTTCAGCAATGCCGCGATGAGGTGATGTAGACTTGATAGCGACGGATGATTTGGATTCTTTAAGACCGTTGTGATGGGAATTCCGCCCCCTCCCTCCGCCGCGGTGAAATCTTCGTCGACGGGAAGCAGAATCGGCTGTTTCGCGGCGGGGACAAAGCACTGCCGGGTATGATTATCCCGCTGGCACTTCGCCTTTGGACATTTCGCGTAGACCCTCTTTCGGAAGAGGATTTCATAAAGCGATGCGCCCAGGCTAAACATGTCCGTCGCCCGACTGCAGACCGCATTTTCCAAGGCGGGGAGATCCATATATTCGAAGGTGCCGAAGGCGTCGGCGACGGTGGCCGCCGGATCCTGCCCCACCACCCGGCAATTCCCGAAGTCGGAGAGATAGAACCGAACGCCCGATCCGCCCCCAGCCCCTGTCAGGGTCCCGCGCGATTCGTGCGCGAATAGAATATTGCTCGGCTTGAGATCG